TTTTGTCCTAAACTTTTGCATTTTGATGTTATGCCATTCTGATAGTTAAACATGGCCTTTTTCGATGATTTTCTGGAGATGGTGATGTCATGGAGGACACAGCTAGAGAGTCTGTGGCTTCTCTGCTTTCTCTGGCTGGCTGAAAGGTAAATATTCCAGTTGTCAGTCCACTCTGGGTCGACTCCAGTATAGAAACTTGTTGTGAGAGATTTTATTTTGCTTTGAGATTACTGTGCTCACAGCTACCATAAATAAAAGTCATATAATTCGTGAAAGAAGCTATAGTTCTGGGGAGAAGCCTTTCATCATGTCAGGTCCTCTGGCACACATTTCTTATTTACTAAACAACTTTATGAAGTTTCCACCAGAACTGCTATCACCATTTCATAATTTCTCCCTGTGTTCATTTTAAAATAGACCTTTTATTATTAATCTGAAAATTCTGGATAGTTTTTGTGTGCATGGCCTGAAGCTTTTTCTACTGATGCATTAAAAAATGATCTAAAAAAAGGAGGCTGTAATAAAAGACAGGATAAGGACACTCCACTGAAATGTAATTACTCATACCAATTATAGACACTAGATTTGCACCACAAATACTGCATGCACAGTGGGTATTATGAGGTGCCTGGCAGAGTGCCAGAAATGTCTGTAATAAACTGGGTCATCTCTTACAAGAATGTTGTTATTACACTTGAGGGGTCAGGGGATAAGCAGGATTTAACCCCGAGCTTGGCAGAACTGCTGATTCAATTTGCTCCCAAGGATTGCTTTTCATTGTGCCTTGATAGACTATTTTCTGCTATTTCTGCTGGAAGAAGTTTCTGTTTTTCAAAATATGGTCCATAGAACTGATAAATGGGAGGTATTCAGCAAACAGTTAATACTCTGGAGGATAAAGTGAAGCCTTCAAATCAGGCAGTAGTGGATCTGGAGAGAGAAAATGAGATTTGTATTCCTAGACTTTGTTTTGCTATAATGAAGTAAAAATACGAACTGAAATGCTGGCTTGCTTTGAGCTATGGAAAGAATTGTCATAAATATAAAGCTTTTCAGTATTAGTTTTGGGCTTCCCCTTCTCCTGTGCTATGTGGAGCATGAACCATCACTGTTGTATTTTGTAAGACTGTTCTTTGTTTTCTCAGTTACTCTAATGATACCAAACATGGGGAGATTTATTAGCCAAATTGATAGAACAAAGTTTTATGTTCATATGGAAATTCTACCTTTTAATGTCTCACAGAAGGCTTTGACCAGTGCCAGAGCAATCGGTGGCATTTTTTTGAGCAATTTATAATGCAGGCGTCAAATTCTTGACAAGTGGGGATGACGGAGCCCTGGCACAGGCTGCCCAGGGAGGCTGTGGAGGCTCCTCTGGGGATCTCCCAAACCCGCCTGGATGCGACCRGGTGCCCCGAGCTCTGSATGTGCCTGCTGGAGCAGGGCTTGGACTGGGTGATCTCYAGAGGTCCCTTCCAACCTCAACCATCCTGTGATTCTGTGATACCCTTGGTGCAGGGGRTGATAATGTTGGTGAAYGGAGTTTGATTTCTGCAGGGAGTTCCTGCAGGGGCCCGTGTGAGGGCCGTTGGTGCCGCGTGGTGGCGCGAGGCGGGAGCCGCAAGGCGGGAGCGGCGCCGCTGCCCTGAGAGGAGGCAGCGCGGCCTGCGCCCCGGCAGCCACCACGGGCCACCGACATGGAATAACCGGCCCCCCTCCAGCACCCCTTTGTGAACCTGAGCCCTGAGATGTCTAGAGGCCGTGTTTTTGGGAAATGGTGGAGTTTCGAGTCCAGCAGTCTGATGCCCTGCTCTTGGTCGCCGCCAGGACGGGCTGCCCGCGTGGGCCATTAGCTCTGCTGCCACGGCGTAGCTGTCTGCAGTCCTCCAAAGGGAGATCCATTCCTGCCTCCTTGTCTGTGGTCGGGATGTTACCATGTGCTAATCTTGGTGAGGAAAATGGCAGAAATAAGATATGGACTCAAAAGCGTTATRGTTGTAAGGGATGAGAACTAATAACTGGAAAATGCACTGGCAAGCTCCGTGTAAATTCAGACAGGCATCRCAGTGAGGCTCTCTGCCTCTTGGAGGGGAAGTCATTTTTTTCTTATAGCTTTCAGGTTTTGTTTCCTATCTCAGATGTTTCCTAATAATGCCATCCTATATTTACAAACCCTTGTTTCCCTCCCCAGTTTTGTTTCTGAATGTGTTTTTTTCATATCAGTTGACTAAAAAACTTGTTCTCTCTTTTCTTTGACCTACAATCAGTATCAGCATGATTAATGTACGGCTGCACAAGCCCTTCAAGCACAAGTGAAAGGATGTGACAGTAACTGCTACAAAAAAGCAAAATGCCTATTGTCAGCTTAAACACTAGGGATTATTTCTKACAAGGAAGTAAAACAAAAGTTTTATTTTTCTCTCCATTTTTGCAATAAGTGGCTAGAAAAGCCTTCTTTGAGGGTACAGCTAGAGAATATTCCCGTAACTTTAAGATGTCTGCTTTGTTCTCAACTAATTGATACTGGCTCCACAACCGTGTACTTTTAGAAACATTATATAGCAATTGTGGGGTTAAAAACATGAAATATTGATAAGGATTAAGAAATTTATCAAAYCAGTTGTGGTAGACTGTTAGAACTCACGTAAAATGGAAGAGATRCGATAGTGGCTTTAGAAGTAAACTGTCTGAAGACCAGCTGAAACCATACCCTTCCAGCAGTGCCATGCACTTGGTAGCCAGATTTGTCAGTTATCATATATCTTGTTGTCTGCCTTCAYGTCTCTTTTTCATGTTCTACCTCTTTGCCCACGTAACCTTCTGTAACGTAAGGGTTGAGGGTGCTGGGTGCAGTTGCACRTTGTGCTGTTAAACGAGGGAAGGTCCCAAAGGAAGCAATTCCTTATAGGCACTGGTATTAAGTTTTGCCTATCCTGATAGGCATCTTTGTAGCTTTTAAGAAGGCTGTTCTTGCCCTGTATTATTGCTGTAGGAGAAGCATTTTCTTAGATAATGATGCAAAGCCACATAGTAAATTGAAATCTTAATCTTATTCTGGCAGTCTGCACCTCTCTCCTTTTTTTTTCTCCTCCCTTCCCTTTTTCTATTTTAATTAGCTACTGTAGCCATATTTAAAAAGACAGCTTTGACTAACTGCAGTTCTGCCTTGTATATGAAGAAKCATTTAGTATTAGGCAGCCCTGCTTTAACTTGCCGTCTCACCCGTCTGCTGGGGTGGGATAATCCACACAGTGGGGATGTGTTTTTAGCTAGACCTATTAAATATATAGAATTTTTTTATTTTATTTTCCTGAAATGGAATAATGATGCTAAATAGTCTGGCAGACTATGCAGCAGCAGCCATGAAACTCTAGAACCAACGGCAAATGTTAAGTATTTACRTATTTTGAAGCTCGGTATATTTTAGAAGGTGAAGTTGTCACAAGCTCCCTGCCCGTTCAAGGAGATTGGAAAGGCCGGWATGACTTGTTCCTCCTTGCACTTTGAGTTTTGCTGTCATACTCCTTCCTGCTCTCCCCTTTAGTTCTTGGGGGYACCTTGTGGTCCCTGCCTACTTCATGCAGGTGTAACAAGAAGTTCTCAGGCGTTTCCAGAGGTTAAAATGCGTTTTGCCCACAGCCATAAAAGGCATTATTGCTGCAGTGACTCAGGAGGYGACTGTGTCCTCACCCTTGCGAAGTGACTTGCTGGAAGGTAAAGCTCAGCGCAGGTGTATAGGAAAAATAGCATCTCTGGAAGGTCGGTCTGCATTGGAGGTTTAGCTCTGTGCAGCAGTGCACTCRGGCACGGTGAGGGCTGCTGCGCTGTCTGAAGCTACAGCCACTCCTACAACTGTAGCTACACCAGTTTTATATCGGTATATCAGAGTCTCAGAGGTTTCTAATGCTTTCAGGAAAAAGTGATTTTTAAAGGGAGAMCTGCCAGGATGGTCATATCCTGAAGATTAGCATTAGTAACCACGTAAGTTTGTCTAGTTCTGTGAATTTTTTTTAGTCTGTTCTTAATGTAACCTCATTCTAACTTAACAGTTTGTCAGTAAACAAACCTAGCTCCTAGTTATTGAAATCATGGTTAGTTTTTATAAAACTTCAGCAGCTGAAATCATAACAAAATTGGCTTACACAACAAAATGTTGTTTCTRTTTACTAATGCAAACTTTATTTATTTATGGACTGCATTTATGGACTCTTAATGGCAGGAGAAATGACAAATACGAATTTCCATAGAGAARTGGGAAGCTCACTAAAGATCATTGAGCTAAAAGCTAGCGTGGTTGCAGATTCTTTTGGCAAAATGCTACATTTGCAGCACGTTATGCTACGTACCCATTTGAGTTTAAGAAGTGCTAAGAAGTCTTGGATTTGTTTGTCAGTGTTACTGCTTTTATCTGTAATCTACTACCCTATCTTGATATATATGCACATAGAGTTGGGGAAGTCGCAAATAGAGTGGAACCAATTTAAACTCTGAAGCTACCAAATAAACATTAAAGCATTCCCTTTAGGAACTCTGAATCCTTTGAATTATGCATGTATTGTAGTTTGCAGTAAGATAAAAGAACTTCRGGCGGGGAGGGTGAGAAACTTGAAAAGCCTTAAGGAATAATATTCATAAATTGGGTGGAGAGAGTAAACAGTGCAAGAGGAAAAAAGTTATTTTCAGTAAGCCATCCAGAGTGAGATAAAACAAATTAAAAAAATCAGGTGGAGTTGAAACAAAGCTGAAGCGCTTTAAACTTGCTTTAGCACTGCTGTTGCCTTTAGAGCAAATCCCAGAGAACTCCCTACTGGCCTGGATAAAAAACAAAAAGAATTCCTAGGGGAGAGTTAAAAGAGAAGAAAAGCCAAGGAGGCAGCCTAACATRTGTGTCTTACTGTGTGCAAGACCTCTGGAAATGAAATGGGAAGTATAAGCTGATTTTTATTTTATTATTATTTTATTTTTAATCTAACAATATATATATTTCTTTTATGTTCCAGTTACAGGACCGCACACAGTTTAGTGACCGAGACTTAGCTACCCTAAAGAAATACTGGGACAATGGCATGACCAGCCTGGGCTCAGTGTGCAGAGAGAAAATTGAAGCTGTTGCTGCGGAATTAAATGTTGACTGTGAAATAGTGCGGGTAAGAAATCTAGAGACTTCCCYTATCCTGTCGCAGAAGCAAAAATAGGACAGATGAAAGCCTTTAAAAATTTCATGAGGAAGCTTGAAATAGATTTCACGTGTTACATAATGAATGACCATGTTGGGAAGTGCTCTCTTGCTCTTTTTACAGTCTATATATAGAAAAAAGCCCTCAGGTAAGAGTCCTATTGATCAGTAACCAGAGTAGCACTACGAGCTGTTTGACATCTTCTTTAGACTGGAATAAGGTTTTAAATAAGAACTAAAAATTTTGGGGGTATCCTAGAAGACTGAAAAAATGCTGCAGTTAATTATGATCAAGATACAAAGTCCTTCTGAAGAAACAGGGGAAAAAAAACGTTTCATTGATGCTTAGAAGGGGAAAAATAATTGCAAACGTATGAAAGAATGTTCCAAAATGGGAAAATCTTTTCAGATGCTGTCTTGAGGCCAAGTGGGGATGTGATAGAGGGCAGAAGGTGCTGTGAGGAATGCTGGTGCCGACCAGTGTGTGATGTGGTTTCCTTCTAATGAGGAGTCCAAACACCTCCGTGATGCAGTCAGCTGGGAGGCCCTGCTGAACAACAGAGCATCTCTGCTCTTTGCTGCATGCACAGCCCGAAAGCGGTGGCCCAAAAGGCTGCTGAGGGAAGAATGTCTCCAATTTCRACACGTTTTACCCCTGTTTGTATTTTACTGTACTTTGAATTCCAGACAGTGTACAACTAGCAGTGTTTCTCCATTTGTGATATAGCAAAAAATATAAATATTTTACATAGATATTTATACATAGTAAATTACTTGGTTTTAATTCAATTCATTAATCATCCCCATTCTGTTCTTGTCATAGGCATTTAATGAAAGCTCATGATTTGTCCAGACAAGTGTTGCTTTTCCAGAAGTACAGACTTAAAAACTACAGRGTTATGCAGAATATAAATTTAAGATCTCATACTTCCTTGAAAGCTCTTAGTACAAAGAATATATCAAATCTGTTTTCCTAACTCGGAGAAAGATGTTTACCACCACTGGATTTARTCTCCTAAGGTTGAAGAGGGCATTTTCCTCCATATGACTTTGATGCCCACAGCAGGAGAGCAGATAGGCAAAGTGACTGCTGTTGCATGTCACGCATGTGTCCGCCCCTGGGTGTCTTTCATACGTTCCCAAGACGCAAAAAGAAGGAAGAAAAGTAACTTTTAAGTATGTGAACTCTGGGCAACGTTTCATAAAACTCAACGATAKTTCTTATATTTACATTGTAATTATTACTGAATAGACTTTGGGGACTTTTTTTTGTAGTTAAACTTGTTTGTTTTGTTCCCTTGACTAATTTCATTTCTTCATACCAAAAGAGTGTCTGAAAGGCAGAATAACCTTCAGTGAGACACGAGATGTTTGAGGACAGGGTGACAACTATCACGTTCCTCAGAAAAGTTTCAGAATTAACCTTTTTTCTTTTTTTATAGAGGATAAAGCTTTTATACAGAAAAGATGTAGTGCTGCTTTTATCCATCCTGTCCACAGGCTAGAGGCATATCCTTCCTTTCCCTGCAGATCACTGGATAAAGCTGGAATATTTAAGGAAGCACGTAGTCTGAGTTCTGTAACAAATCCATCACTGCAGCCAAATGACCGCTCCCTTTTCCCAGCTGATTAACGTCTCTTGCTGTTGGGGGCTCTAGGGCCAGCCTAGACACAAGTTATGATGAAGAGACTCATTGTAAAAAATAAAGATCCTTATTTTTCCCTTTAAGCAGCATTTCTGAAGGTTGCAACTTAGAATCTTTCTTGCAAGTTGACACCCCAGCCTCAGTATCTGGAGTTGAAGTCAGTTAAAGCTGAGGAAATTGCTGCTGAGTTTTCACCGGCTGGTGTAAGTCAGCCTTACGAGTCTGATCACCTGTCCTTTTGCTTGGTATTTTTAAGGAGGGAATCCTCTGTACTAGCCTTTTCAATGCTATTCATCTGTCTGAGCTCTATTTAGAAGAAGTGGAATGGGAAGGAGAAGAATTGCAGGTATTTCTGACATAAGGCCAGAAGTAGTGTTGCCTTGTGCATTTCTAAAAATAAAAATCTGGGAATACTTCAGTGTGCTTGGTAAGCTGTGTTAGACTGGAGACCTTATGATAGGGATGTGTTTTACTGAGAGAAAATTAAGAGGTGAAGAGTTGCAGRTGACTCTTAGTCCTTTATGTTAAACTCTGGTTCCAGCTTTAATACTACTTAGCATAGGTTTCTCTTTATAATTAATTAAAGAAGGGAGCCATTAAACACAGCTGCACTTGCAGAATTTTGAATAATTTCTTTTTTGTTTTTTTGCAAAGAGTGTCAGTTTTGTTGCAGTAAAACGCACTTAGCTTCAATACCCATCTGCCCACGAATGACTTCTCAGATTGCTAGATTCTGGACCTCTTCCATCTCCCAGCACTGCTCACAGTAGGCTCTTACTTGCACCTTGYTGCAAGCAATGCTTCCTAAAGACCCATCTTCCATTTAAAGAGGACTCAAGGATAATRTTGCTCTGAACTTGCTTATTTCCTCCAAGTTATTTCCTATGTGAAGAAGAGTGATACAGACCTGTCCCTTTGGACAATCTGTGCTTTGGGATATCCTAGAACAGGTTGACTCTGGGTTGTTGGATGCTTTMGTTGCCTGGTGAAAGCCATGGGAGGAAGAACTTGGGTTAAAAATTTTGCATTAAATTCACAGAATAGGCTGGGAGGGAGCTCACAGGGTCACCTAGTCCGGCTCTCGAGCAGAGTTAGGCTAGATTGCTCAGGACCTTGTTCAGCAAAACTCTACGTATGTCCAAAGCTGAAAATTCCCCAAGTTCTGTGGACAGACTGTTCTGATGCTCATTGCCCCTCCGTGTGAAACCTTTTTTTTTTTTTTTTTTTTTTTTCCCCCTCCTAATGCCAGTCAGAATTTCCTTTACTGCAACTTGTGACTGTTGCTGCTTTTGCTCTGTAGCCTCTTAACCTTCCCTTTTCCCCTGTATTGGAGGCCTGAAACTGGACACAATATTCCAGGAATCGGCCTCATGAGTATCRGACACAGGGGAATAATCACGTTCCTAGAACTGCTACTGCCCTCCTGTTCCTGTGGTGGAGATGTGCTGATTTCACTTGGTTGTGGGCCTGTTGCTTTTGTTATAGTTTCTGATATCATTCATGTTTATTTCTCTTACAAGACGTGGATTGGGAATCGAAGACGGAAATATCGTTTAATGGGGATTGAGGTCCCACCCCCTAGAGGAGGTCCTGCTGATTTCTCTGATCAATCTGAATTTGTTTCTAAATCAGCACTTAATCCAGGAGAGGAAACTGCTACTGAAGTGGGGGATGATAATGATAGGAATGATGAAGTATCAATCTGCTTATCTGAAGGAAGCTCACAAGGTATTTGAAAATGCAGTTACTACTGTGCCTATATTTTTACTTTTATGTATGCAGTGTGCATGCTTTGCATTCTCTGTTGTACACATTCACCAGTGTCTGAAAGTGTGTCTGGCAGTTGCACGTTATTTATCTGGGCCATGATGAAGGCTCAGTTTGGTCTCTTTCCTCTACCTCTCTCTATGAAATACTGGTTTGTTATCAGAAAGCTTGCAGAAGCTCTTTGCATTGTATGAGCTCATTTTCTGCTAATTCACCAGAAGATGACTGACAAGTTCACGATTTGTTGGTACCACTGAGAGATGGACAGAAAATACAGATGTATAGACCTCATTTCCCTAGGAAACCAGGTTTAAAACATACTCACAGTTAGCCTGCCAGTGGACTGAGATTGGAAAAAAAGTGTGTGTGTATATATACACACACACACACATATAAATTTAATCATATCAACTCTTATTTTTCTAAATAAGCACATATGTGACAGAAGCCTTGCTCTGGGCTGACCAGGGCTGTGTAGTTGCAGTTTTCCTGATACTAACCTCACGCTGTTCAGAAGATGTTGGCTCCAACCCGTGTGACACGAGAAGAGCTTCGCAGTGTCGGAGGCAGCAGCAGTTAGTGCCGCTGAGCTGGTGTCTCCGTGCTCCACACAGGCAAACACACATCAGCACAGAGGAGGTCAAAGCCAGTGGCCGGGAAGGGCTCGGGAAGCCTCCGAGCGGCTCCCCGGGCGGCTCGTGATGCCGAGGGCTGCCAGCCTCATTCCCCGGTACCGCCTCGGAGCTGCATGGCCAAGTTCAATCAGGCTCTTGCTCCTTCCCTCCCTTCCCCACCGCTCCTCTCTCATGCTCTCCCTTCTCGTTAATGCTCTGGGCCTAAGGCAGCTGAACTGCCACTCTGCACATTTCACCAGCTTCACACGCTCAACTAATTGCTCCCAGTGCTTCTGATTAGAAGAGATCAATAAAGTCTTTGCTCTCTAAACCAAAAGAAAGTCTGACCTAGTGCGTGCTATTTCAGCTTAGCATGCCAGGCTTGATCTTGTCGTTTTGTTTGAACAACTTAAAGAAGAACTAGAGAGGTGGGGAATTGCTGGGAATGAATTGCGATAGCTTTGTCAGATTCTAATGTAAAGGGGAAAAAGATGATAAAGAAATGGGTCAAATGATTGAAAGCCAAGTGAAATGCAGAATCTGAGAGTCTCTGCTTTGCCCGAGGTGTGGAAGGAACTGATTTAATAAGTTCTATCTGGAAGAAAATGGTACTGTGGGAAGAGTCTGAATTCTCTGCAGCTTAAAGTGAAGAATAACACCACATTTATTGAGCTAGGCCTGCTTAAAACAGGATCGAACTGTAAGACTATGAGACTATAACGAAAGCGTCGGCTAGTACAAAAAGCCTCTTAGTTTTTTGTAGTGTCCGAGAAACAGTCTTTGATTCTTTATTCCAACACAGGAACAGTTTCTGTTACCTTCCACAGTCCAGTGTGGTAGGTTTTATTGCTATAGATTAATTTTTTGAACTTCCTGGAAAACACTTCCACCAATAATCACGTTTACTACTCAGTCATAGCAGTCTTTGAGAACTAAAATTGTTGTTATTTAATTAAAAAAAAAAAACTCTCAAAGATAGAAAAAGATATTCTTAGTTTGATATTCTTAGTAGATATTCTGTTCTGGTGGCACTGGAGTCTGCTGCTTGGGGACTTCCATTCCTCTGAGTGGAGTCAAGTGCCCTTGCACTGCTGCCTSCTACTGCCCTCCTCCTCTTTGGACCCAGCTGCTTTTGATGCTAGCAGAAATTTTCTTACGACATTGTAGCCTGTCCAGATTCAATTTATTTGAAACCASTTTAAATAAAGCTTATTCAGCTAGAGGCATTTAATAGAAAAGTTACTTAAAGTATTAAATTACAAATTATTATAGCTATTGCCCATTCACTGCATCTCCTTTCCTTTGCTGGGTTGGCAGCTTGTCCCTCTGCCCCATGCAGAATACTGCAGAAAATAGGGAGGTTCCAATTAATAGCCCGGCTGTTATTAACAACATTGAAATTTTTAATCATAGCTGCCTTGCCTTTGTGYTTTGGTTGATGTCTTGTTTTGCTGTTTCTGTCAACCACTTCCTCTTGACAGTAGATCAAGTACGTGTAGATGTAGAGAATTAAAGTAATTTTCAGAAATGTGCTTAGTCACAGGAATATTGCCCGTAATTGAGGGATAATGAAATTGTCCAATAATTATGGTTGAGATTTAGGAATAACATCTGCTGTGTTTTCGAGTGTGTGTTTTGCTGATACACATAGAAGAGAAGATCAGATTCACTAGGAGGAAGCCTTATTTTCCATATGAGAACAAAATAATTATCTGCTTGATCAGTTTTCTCTTCAAAGGTAGTCAGTGCCGACAAGGAGGAGGGGAGATTCTAGTATGTAGCCTGTAATTGCAGGGGTAAGCTGGATTTTTCATGCAATAACTTACTGAAAAATCCTTCTTTCCTATTAATGAGGCAAAATATGGCTTGAAAGCAGGACAATATTGGTTTTGGATGCAAACATGCTTAATTAGAGAAGTTCTAGGTAGGTCTGGTGTGAAACTGTTCCTTACCTCTGAATATTGCAACCTGAACTTAAAACAGGAAGGCCTTAGTGCAAGTTGCAGAAGAGCAACTGGTAGACTTGTTTTGCTGTCTTTCCAAGTTATGATCGTCCTAAGTTTGCCCTGAAATACTGGCAATGTGATGTCTTGTTTATTAAGATATGCAGTATTTGTTTGTGAATAGACACTGATACGACTTTGCTTTTGTAGATAGCAGATGTGACATATTTAGTGGAAAAGACTAATAATGTTCGTCAAGCATGAAATTTGAATGAAATCTGAAAAACTAATTTATTTCTGCAGAAGAGACAAGTGATACTCTTCAAAATGAAGAAATGGGTCACAAAGAAGATGACCAGAATCCAGTATCTACKGATAACGTGGTGCGTATAGTTTTGCTGTCCTAGTTACGTTGCTGTTATTGTCCAGCACTAGGGTTTTTCACTAGATGAAAGCTTCAGCTGAGTGTGCAGAGTTCTTCCTTCTGGCTTATGTGCTACAGAAACTTCCTGTGGTGGAACTGTGTACATTCAATAAAAATTGAATAATACAGATTTTTCTGTATAACAGCCCAGTGTTGTTCTGGAGTGCTTGGGTAGTATGAACTTACTCTGTAAGTACATATTGTAATAAAAGAGTAAGAATAAACAGCAAAATAAAAATAAAAAATGATTTTCAATTACTTTCAGAAAGTCACAAGTGTCCAGTGTTTCTTCTCTATAGCTAATCTTGGATCTGTGGGCTCAGATGTCCAGGGCTGGATATATCGCCTTCACCCCCATACTGTGACAGGGCTAAATCTATCTAAATAAATTTAGATGTTTCTTATATTCTCACGTGCATTCACGTGTGAGAACACAGTTCTTGCTGGKTTTAACTAAGTCTGATAAGAACATAAGGAAGGGAAGGCAGAGCGAGGAGTCATGGCAAATAATGTAATATGTCCCCTTTGTTTAGCCTGTCTTCTCTCAAATTAGAAGAAAGGCGAGGAGGAAGAGGAGAGAAGACCCCAAGTGGTAGGGTAATTTTTATCTTAAAAAGCTATTTGGAGAATGAACTGGCGATGGGTCCAGTTCCCAATTAGACTCTTCTAACTCAGGTAGAGCTTAAACTATAGCAGCTCAGAACACATCCAGAGCTTTTGTTTTTATATAAATTGCCTATAATCTGAAATGGGAAAGTGAACAGGAGGTCTCCTTCTCTCTTTATATAAAGAGAACGTTACCCGTTACCCGAACTAAATTTCCAGGCTTGTATTTCTTGTGTTTAGCCTGAAAAGAATGGCTGCCCTTTTCTAGTCTCTTTAACCTGCTGGCCCGCTGTGAGCTTAGAAGTAATAACTTCTGAGTTTCAGGCTAATATGTTTTCCACAGAGATGTAGAATGAAATGTGAAAAGGTCTGCAAAGATGATGCCCAGCAACAAATTGCTTCCTCAGTTTACCTGAACCCTCAACATTATATARTTTGAAACAGTAAGAGGAAAAAAAAGTCGTTTTTTTTCATACCACGTTCCAAAAACATCATAACAAAATTAAGATAAATATGCTGTTAAAATTGAGCTAAGATACATTGGGCTTGCATAAGAGATACAGTTTTCTGTTTGAAATTCTAATCTGTTTATCSTCTGCTATCTTAAAGTACAGAATTGCAAGGAGAAGGAGTTGAATGTTTGGCATGTATTTAGAGGCTCTTTTCCTCCAGCTGAGTCTCAAATCAAAAATTTATTTAAATTGCAGTGCTAGCATATGATAACAGCAGATCCTTGTGACATGAGGCCTTTGAAATGTTAGCGCTTCAGCTGTGTTGTCAGGAGCGAAGCAGAGAAAATGCAGTTTATACTGTCTGTGTTCAGCACGTGCCCAGTAGCTTGGTGGGTCCTGCCACTGAGGGGCTGCTCAGGGGTCTCCAAGGGCCCTTCCTTGCAGGTTAATGGGAATTTCTGCAGGCAGCCAGAAGGATGTAGCTCTGCTGCAGGGAAGTAACCTCCTAGTAACTGACGCCTCAGGAACTAACCATTAAAGTGCAGCTCTGTCACTGGGCTCCTTGCCTGAATTTTATTAAATAGTGTATTAAATAATACAATAAAATTGCTTTAACCTATTAGATATGGTTGTCCAAAATCTTTACAAGTGTTGGATAAGTGCTAGGAAGTATAAAACTCCCTTGTTAGACTACCATGGGTTCCTTCTGAAAAATACAGGTAAACTTATAGTTTAATCCTTCTTAGTTCTTGGTTAAAAAAAAAAAAATCCAGTATCTTATCACTTTCTAATTCAAATTAACTCCATCAGTTTGCGGTCTAATTTAGATGTGAATCAAAAATCCCTCTTAGATGTGCTCTAAAGATGTGTATTTTTTTTTTTTTTTTCCCTGTCAAAGTGTGTGTTAACATATTTCTCCCCCTTATCAAGTTTTTTTTTTTTGTTAGGAGAAAAAAACACATAAAAGTGCTAACTAGTCTAAAGGGGAGTGTTTTAAAAGTTGAGATATAATAGTGTATTTCCAAATTTAAACAGCATTTAGGTTGTCCTTTAACAATGCATTTTAATAACTCTGGAAACCTATTAATGCACTTACACTTTTGTGAATTAAGTGAAAATATCCATAATATCCATATATATGGATATACACGCAGCTGCAATACACACACACACACACACACACACACACACACACACTCACTCTCTTAAACCTGTCTATCATCAGTGTCTTCTCCTCTTCAAGCCATTTGACTTGCACTATAGCCAAAGTAGACCAAGGGAGAAACTTTTTTTTATTTAGGCAATGTATAGGTCAGTTAAGACTTGCTAGTCATTTGTCATAATACTTTTTTTTATTTTATTTTCCTGTCTTAATTCCAGGAGAAAACTTTCTTGTCTCTCTAGGATGTCTTCAACAGAAAGTGTATGGARTAAGTGCAGACTTTTGCAGGCGATAGTGAGACAGAGTGTGCAATTGAATAACCAAAACCCCGGTGACAKGTAGCCCTTCCTCTGCAAACAGCCTGAGTCACCACAGCAGCAACTCTCCCAAGTCATATCTTATAGAGCTCCTATGGCTGAAAAGCGTGGTTGCCCTCTAATGGGGGCTCCAGAATGCCAAAGTGCTCAAAAGCTGGCAAAAAAACCCAACCCAAACCAAAGTGTTACCGTCTTCCTTGCAAGTTAACTTGAGATGAGCATTATCAGTTGTAGCTCTGATGTATAAATTCAAATATTTGCAATGAATCATGTACTTCTGTTTCAGAAAATAGAAATTATAGATGATGAAGAAAGCGATATGATAAGCAATTCAGAAGTGGATCAAATGAGTTCTCTCTTGGATTACAAGGTGAGTTAGGCCGTGAAATAGTAAGTAAGATCACACTTCACCAAAAAATGTGAGCAGGTTTAAGTGCGAGGACTTGAGCACAGCAGCGTGGGAGCCTGGAGCCCCTCTGCTCTCATCGGGGAGCCACGGCACAGCACATTTCCCCTTCTCTTGCATGCCAAGCAAGCAGTCGCATCCAATCTGCAGCCGGTTGATCTGTGTTTCCACACAGAGGGAGGCAGGAAAAGTCCCATTTGCAGCGAGCAGCTCCGTTGCAGCAAGCGTAGCCATCTGCAGCTCCCACCAAGTGTCCTGAACCAAAGCAATTTATTTAGTGTCTGAAATGAAGCTTGCGCTCTGTGCCGTAATTGTTCTCTGGAGTTTTATGGAATGCTTTTAAAATACAGCGTGATGCTGCCAGCGCTGGAAAGAAATAACAGCAGCTGGACTCCTCTGGCAAAATAGGGGGAACTGGGAAAGTAGTAGCTCTGCTATTAAAGTGCACATGTAGAACCTAAGCGCTGCAGCSTGCAGGACGGGTGTAAGCAGTAGTAGTGGAAGAGAAGAAAAGCAGTTAGACTCCTGACAACCCCTGTCCTTGCCTAATGGTAAAGGTTGTGTGYGCTGTGGTCTCAGAGCTGCCAAGTTCTGCGTTGTATTTTGAGCACTGAGGTTTTTAATGTGTGTGGTTGACTTTTTGCTTACGAAGTAGGCATATCCTACCAAAGATAATCAGTTACCGAAATAATAAATAGATAATCCYTTTTTCCAGAACAAAAATTAATCCCTCAAGCACTGTTTTCCGGGTAAGGGCAGTGCAGAATGAATATGGATAAAAGAATAACCTTTTCTTAACGTCACCTGTCACCAAACTGAAAGACTTGTTGTGACAGCATGCCCTGCAGAACCTTGGTTGTTGTTTTGTTGTTTGACATAAGTAATTGTTTTTTGTGGCTGTGCATTTTCTGTATAAATCTGTATCCCATCATTTACTGGAAAGAATCCCATGCATCATTGCTGAAAGGATATGGTGACTTTTTTTTAAAGGAATATATATWTTTTTTTGATTAAAAAAAATGCATGCTTATAGGCCTGTTAAAAATCTTTTCCTTCACTACACAGTGCCATCTTTTCCATGGCAAATATGTAGTCATACATATTTGTAGTCATAGTTATATAGTCAAGCCAGACTTAGAGTTGTTTTTGATTCAAAATTTCATACAATATGGATGGGGGAAATAATGATAAAATATCTGGTCTTSTATCAGAATATTGTAAAGCGTTCCCTAGGCTTAAGAAACCGGAGATTCTCATTTGCAGTCATACTGTGTAGATTGAGATTCTAGATTTCTGTAATGCAGTTTTGCAGGTCCTCGTGCAAACATTCACAGGAGAATTTTACCCTTTCCCTTTGTTCCCATGTTCATTCCTCCAGTTTCTTTTCTCTGACAGGGTTTCAGGTGTACCTGGGCATTACCCTGGGTGTTACAGGTGAGCTCTGGTGCAAGAGTATGGAGTATATGGGCACCCGATAAGCTAGGTCATAAACTTCAGATTAGAGTTTGCCCTATATTGTCTGTTTTTAATTAAGCTGCTTTGAACATACCCAGGGATATTGGAGACAAGCAAACGGACTGCTTAGTTCTGAAATAGCTGTGAGCCTAAATACTTGCTTTCTACAGTGATTTCTTTGTGTATCTGTATTTATACATCTGTTTTCATTACCTTGTGGAGAAATGTGAATTCACTGCCATTACAGGGATACTTTTTGCAAAAAATATGGTGATTTTGATCTGGAGAAGCAAACTATATTTAGCTTACGTGACCTTTGCAAAGGTAACAAGAGAAACGTTTGCTTTAGCAATCTTACACATCTCTCAGGTGGTAAGTTTGAAGAGGACGGGGTCCTTGCCATAGCCTGAAGTACATTATTCACATTTTTAATCAAGAAATTTCTTATCTCCATACCAAGGAAGTCATTTGCAAATACGGTGACTTTTTGCAGTATTTGTGGAAAGGTTGAAAATACGTCTTTTTGTCTAGAGGATGCACAATTTTCCTATTTCTTTGACAATACAATTAGAATTCTAATACTAAGAAACTTTTCCTCATTTGAAATGTTCATGTTTCTTCTGTTGGTGAAGCAAGGAAAGCGAGAAGATCCAGTAACTTGCAGTCTCTCCCTCAGCTGGTCATCAGTCCTGCTTTGGTACAAAGCTATGGACAATTAGAAACTGAAATTCGGGAAAAAAACGGCTCGTTCACATGTTATTTAATATCAGTCGTAAGCTGAAGATWTCTGGGTCTTACCTGGGATGGGGCAGAGGCCTTTGGCAGGTGCAGATTCCTAGCACTGAGACTGGGTCGCAGGGCAGTTTGTGAGACAGATGGACACTTCTTTCTAATCAGTCTGGTGTAGTAAAGATTTCTTCTGTTAATGGCAGTATCATGAGAGTGTGTTCATAAACTTCTATCATGTACAAAAAATTCTCAAGAAAAATACTGGTCATTTTCCATACCCTGAATATTGTTAAATAAGATCCACACAAAAAAGTGGTGCCCTATGAGAGCAAACAAACCTGTTSAGTCGCCCTGGGTTTCTGTCTGCCAGCACACAGCAGACACACAGCAGTGTGCAAAAAAGCTACCATCCCAGTGACATAAATTGCTAATTAGAGTTTATACTCTTTATTATCTCAATGTAGGCATTGATTGCTTAAATKCAGAGTGGTAAATATGTTATCACTTCATCACTTTCTTGTCACTGAACGGGACAAGGAAATCTGAAATGTTGTCCTTCCAAATTTCTCATGTCATCTCATAATATTCTACAATTATATCCCTATTTTATATGTATATTCCCATTCTTTCTGTACCCCCCCCAGCACAGTGGGGAGGGTGGTGAGCTGCCTCTTCAGACTACACGTGGAGCTCAGTGGCACTAAAGATTTTCCCTGGTCTTAGTGTGAAGCCTCACACTGAACTAAATTAATTTAGTTGCTTCTTATAGTCAGGCTGCCATTCAAGACTGCTTTTTTTTTTCCTGGGAAAGGAGTAGCTTTTGTTTATGTTAAAGAGGATTTGGATGTCATCTTTATATAATAAAAAGCAGTGCTTCCAGTGTTCATGCTTGCCCCAATGCTTACATGGTGTGCAGAAATTCTGGAACACCTCCTCTGCCTCTATCATGATTTGCTGTTACGTGTGACTTATGCAGGATAATAATAAATGAATTGGCAGGTGAGTTTTTTTAGGTACTACAGATACAATATAATGTTGTGGCAGTCCATCAAAAAACTCTTATCTAAAATATGTATGCATTGTTCTACAGTTTTAAGATTTGGGGACCTTATTATTTGCCAGAAATCATAATAAATTYATTACTCCTTTTAAGTAAAAATATTTCATTTTAATGCAAGCATATTTAAATGTTGTTAAAATGGTTCAGTACTATTTATTATTTCTAGAACTTTGTGTATTTTTTTCTCCACAGAATGAAGAAGTCAGATTCATTGAAAATGAGCTGGAGAATCATAAGCAGAAATATTTTGAACTACAGACATTTACTCGCAGTTTGATACTCGCTATTAAGTCAGATGATAAAGAACAGCAGCAGGTAAGTCTTGAAGCAGGCTTTAATAATGTCAAGGTATTCTGCTGTTTTCTTGGTTTTCTTCCATAGTGCCCAGAGACTGAAATTATGATTATGGCARCTTGTGCTCAACATCTTAGGGACACAAAAAAAGTTGTATTTGAAACAAAAGATCTTGTAGTCCAAAAAAACAGCACGGAAAAGTGTTACCTTTAGAAAGGGGGGAGCAATGCAGCAGTTTACACTGAAGGAGTTTAAGTTGTCTATTGCAAGATTTGGGAATAAAAGCCAGGTTTCTTCAGTTTTAGTACRCTACCTTTAATGCATAGCTGCCCTTTTAATAACTGTAAGTTGTTAACATTTGTTTTAATGCTTGGTTGTATTAYGTATTGTATGAGTAATGTTTCCTGCTTTATCTGGGAAGGGGTTTTTGTTGCRCCCTCACCCTCCCTTTTCCACTTAACAATCTGCAGTTTGCCACATGTAAAAATAGGAATTACAACATGCAATAAAGAAACTTAAAACATTTTATGTTGAATCTAAATTTAACTTAAAGTTGCTTTTTTATAAAATCACATAAACAGAATATAAAAGAGGGAAAACTTTGAGATAAAAATTCAGAGATTATGACTGATCTTATGTATAGTGTGTTTAGATAACTGCTGTATTTTAATCCTCCTGATTATAGGCACTGCTGTCAGACTTACCTCCCGAATTAGAAGAGATGGATTTCAATCATGCATCCCCAGAGCCTGATGATACCTCATTCAGTTTGTCGTCTTTATCTGAGAAAAATGCCTCAGACAGTTTGTGATTTTTGTTTTTATGTTTTTTTATTGACAAGAAACGTAGGTTTGAAAACAGCTTTTAGTTATCTAACATTTTACAATCCAAACAAACAAAGAAACACAAGGTGATGTAGACCTTGCTGAAGGATGAATAATGGCTGCAGTTTGCAATGACAGAACATAAAGTTTGTTTTGGGTAAAATGGAAGAACTGTGTGGGGGAAGTTTTTCATTTTTGGTAGGATGGCTTGTTTTTCCAGAACAGCTCTTGCTCTGGAGAAAAGTCTTTTTGGGCAGGGGTCCTGGGATGGAAAACACATGTCCTGTTCTACACCCAGATAATTGTTTAAGTGGCTTGCTATATAAGACTCACTAGTCCAGTTTATTGTAGATTCCTCCTTCCCAATTCTTACTCAGGTAGGTTGTCTAAAAATTGGGAATCCACATAGAAAAAAATGGACTTTTTATGAATTGTCCTTGAGCCTCTTTGGAAATCTGAAATTAAACTAAAGTGCTTTTTATTATGTAGCTGCAAATTGTTGAATCTTCTGTTTTCTGACCAAAATAACTGAAAAAAAAAACCTTTGAAAGGCTAACCAAATAATTTGAATTATCATCAATAAATTATTAATATACAAAGGCAGTCATTAAGTTTTGTAACGAATTAGATTCATACTGTAAAACTCGCTAGCTACAGAACATGACTTTCTGCTACTGTCATAGCAATGGCATTACATATGTTTACATTATTATTTAAAGTTTTATGAATGTAGAGACAGATTTTATTTGGCAGAGCCTGAATACTAAAGCTCTGATCACCAAGTTTTAAACATCAGTTATTTTTTCCATGAGCTTCTCTCTAGTTTTACCAGGACAAACTGTCATCATATCCCAAAGTTTTTCTGGGTCTTTCTTACTGAGCTTTGCAAATCAACTAAATGAGACCTGGTTTAGAAGTAGCCTCTCTGACATTTTTTTTTTTGGCCCAACCCATAGTACAATTGCCATTTCTGAGCTGTGAACTCAATTGCAGGCAGTGGCTGAAAGGAATTTCTACATCTGAATACATAGACATGCAGACACTTTCAGATAAATTCAGCAGGGCATGTAGGTGCATGCCCACATTATAAATGCTTTATAACTTATACTCTGAATATTCTCCTGCAAGCATTTTTGAAAGAGACACTCTTGGATCTTGTATTAAACTTGATCTTTCATTTTTATACCAAGTAGTAATTCACTCTGGTGATTTTTCATTCACATAGTACAGTAAGTAATTTCATTAATTGCAGTGGGACTGTTCAGACTCTGATTCTGCCTGCCTGAACAAAAGCATCCTAATTAAAAATAAATGAAACAAGCCCAAGCTGTAGCTGACAAAATTCAGTGCATGAAAGGAAAGGAAAACGGCAACTACAACAATAAAAATAATAGTGGTCTCATGATCACAAATAAGATTAGTTATATTCCTTCTTAATTGCTTAGGCAGATTTTTTCTTTTTATTACTTAGTTTTGTGCTTTTCAGATTTTGTCCCCTCTTTTTCTCTGTTGTCCTTGGGCATGGGGAACTTCTAACAATATTGTTAAATGCCAACTGCAAAAAGGATAGTAGTAATTCTGAAAGCTATATTAAAAAAAACTTCTCAAAATTCTGATTACTGCACAGTTCAGTTAATTCGTAGTCCACAGCAAGTCTTCCCATGCATTCAAACAAAATAACCCTACAGAAAGTAAACTGTTGGGGCTGTGTGTCAACAGCTGGCCATTAAAACTCAAAATGGAACCTGYGGAGACAGAAAACCTACTATGGTTAGACTGTGGTCTATATGGTCTATATAGACTATGGTTACATAGTCTAAGTTCCTCATCCCTCAATTCCTGAGCTGAAATGTCACATTTTGGCTGGCAGACATCCTCATATCCCAATTCAGAGGGGAGAGCAGTATTTCCCATTCCTGTTGAATTGACCACCCATCTAAAATAACTTCAGTGTTGTGAGCAAAGATCACGGTCCTGTCCCTCAAGTGTACACTGGAGCTCAGTTGCAATTCTGTTCCATTTCAGAATAAATCATTTATTAAGGGTTTTCTATACTGGCTTGACAAGGCTTTCTATTTGTGCTCTCTCAAGATTGGAAATCTTTGTTACTGACAGCAAAACCTCTTCTTTTCTATGAGCTTTGCTGAAATTAAGAAAAAAAAACAATACTGTGATGTGCCACTGTTTGGATCCTATTTTTGTGCTGCTTCCACTTAGATTTCTGTGACAAAAGGCAAGATACTCTTAATGAGGTTTCTTGTCTTTTTACAAGAGAATTGTCACTGATAGTAATCCCCTTTTGTTGTTGTTCTGCCTTGGCTTTTATTTCCTATATCAGACAAATTGAATGGATTCATTTTGAATGAGCTAGCATGAGATGTGAGCAGTTCCGTAAGAGTTCCTTTGCTCAGGAAAGTTGTTGARCCTGAGCATGTTGTTCTTTGCTCCCTTTCTAATGGCAGGGTTACAAGACAAAGCCCAGAACATTTATCAATATTAAGGAATATTCAGGAAGGAAGAGTATAAATACACTCCTATATAACCAGAAGCTATATCAGATAATAATATAGAATTTTATATGKTTTTTTTTTAAGTTGTAGGATATATTTCCTATCACAGGTAACTCCACACACAAAATTTGATGATTCAGTTTCATTGCTGGCTATTTAAAATGTTGTAGCAACAGTAGTTTTGCAGTGCAGTGGCTGTAAAGCAGCATCCTTGCATATAGATTCTGAATCGTAACAGCATTTACAAGTCCTGAAGTTGTGAAATACGTATCTAAATATTGCATTTCACACTAGCACCACGCACATGGCTCATGGCTTTGTAATTTAAGGCTTTTGAAGGGTTGTTTGTGTCCCTGATAGACCCCTGTGCCAGTCAGGTTTGCAGGTGCATGTGACTTAGTGGTTCAGCTGGACCTTAGGACAGGATTAGAGCCTTGGGCCTTGTTGCCACCCATATATCATTAAAGATTTGTCACCGTAACTGCGCTGACACTCAGCAAATTCTATTGAGGGGTCACCAGGACACTAATTTGCAGGTGAAACTCTGAAAGTTCTCTAGGTCATCGTGGTGCTGCCTTGCTAGTTGACATATTTGGGTTTTCTTCTATAGTTATTTCCCCCCTAACCTTCCATGGCAGATAAGGCGAATGCTGTGCTGTGTTTCCATGAAAGAAATAAGGCCGCATGTTATTTCACTGTTTGGGGTTTGTAACTTGACTTATTTTATCCTCTTTCTATCCTTTATTTTTTTATCCTCTTTCTGCTGAGTCTCTGATTCGCTTTGCCCAGGAGGGATAACTTCCCGGGCGCTGTTCATTCCTAATGCACCTGTTGAAACACGAGTGATTGAAGTAGCTCTTTCTGAAGAAACCAAAGTGGAAAAGGGGAGTTGAGAACAGACACCTTAGAGCAGAACCAGGCAGCTCCCTGCCCTGCGGGGCAGCGCAGCCCTTGGGTGCCAGCAGCTTCCTTGCCTGAGGCCYCCTTCAACTCCCCGCAGATAACACTGGTGTCAGCCTGCAGGTCTGACAGGAGCAGGAATAGTAAATACCTTAGTAGGCAAATTTTTGGCAGATTGGGTTTTTAGAAGTATGTGAAGATGTGCTCTACAAGTGTCTTTATTTTTCTTTTTT